AATCAAAAACTTAAACCTTAATTGGTAAAAGTGATTTTCTTCAAATCACAAGATATAAATTTAATTAAAATGCGAATGACAAGATGGAAATGCAAAGACTTTTGTCAAAATAAAGTAAACATAAAAATAAAAAAAGGAATTCAATGTGTGAAGGAATAAAAATTTGGAATTAATAATTCAGGCAAATAAACAGAGGTTCCATTTTTTTAAACACTAAACACCTGTTGAACCAAATCCATTCGTATCACGTCCACTTTTCTCTAGCGATTCAACTTCAACGAATTCGCAGTGAGAAATTTTCTCACAGATGAATTGAGCTATTCGATCTCCTTTCTTTATCTAGAAATTTCCAATTTTATGATGTACATCAATTTCTTGAAATAATATTGAGCGATATTGTGCTGCATAACGTGAACTGTTTAAAAAACCGTTATTTTCCTTCTCAATGATTATTTTTGAAAACTTACTTGGAAATCTTCATTAGCAAAATTGAAAAGCACTACATTGAGGTGACCTCTGTAATCCGAATCAATAACTCCGGCGCCTACATCAATGAATTTCTTCAGAGTAAGACCTGAGCGTGGCGCTATTCTACCGTAATAACCTCGTGGAATTTCAACTTGCAGATCTGTTCCAACAGAAGCTTTATCTAAAGAAAAGCTCTTTTAAGCATAGAATTTCGAGAACCGCTAATGTACCAAACATTAGTTAAAACATTAGTGACAATGGTAGAATTTTTAACTACTGAATGAAGAAAAAATTACTCTTTGCGGGTATCACACAATCATAGGCACTGTACAAGTCAGCTCCAGCTGCCCATTCTGATCCATACGTTGGAATATGGGCATTTTCTGATAACTTCTTGAAATAAATACATTTCTTCTCTGTTTCCATGGAAGAAATAATCTGAAAGTAATTCGAACAACTACAAATGAATATGAAAACATACTAACTCCAACAATTTTAATCCTTCTTTAAAAATTCCGAGCATCAGCAGTTAGAATAAAATAATAAAAACCAATTTTTAAAAACCGATTTAGCACATTGGAATCGCTTTTCTTAAAGGGACAGATAAATTATCCAACTGGAAATCAACATTAATGTTGAATTAAACAATTACGCAAATATGAATAAAATTTCTTAGAAATTAAAGTTTCTGCAGCCGGAATAACATTTATTACCTTAGAAATTAAAGTTTCTGCAGCCGGAATAACATTTACTTTCCGCTTTTTTGTTAATTCCGGATCTCTTATCTCCTGTAAGACATTCTCCAGTGACATCATTACATCATTATGCTCCGACATAGTAGATCCTAGAAATTTTATGAAAGTTTCAAATAAAAAAAAAACGAGTTCGTCTTATCCGTGCAACATTTTATGACTATATCTTTAGTGTAAATGCAGCAAGCCAAACAGTCTTGCCTGACTAGTCAAATGAGCCGATGAAGCGACGTACCAACATTGCTATTTAGAAATATATGTCAAAATATTTAAATCTAAAACTATCCAGAACAGGAAACTAAAAATTTCCAAATTCCCTTTAATTTACAAACTTTTTAAAAATAATCAAATTTTAAAAGACAAAGAATTTTGTAGCCCTCTTCCCTTAAATAATGCTTTTGCAGTCTTTGGCACTGTTAAGCTTTCGATATCTTCAGTAATAATTTACAAAAATTTCTATTAAAAATTGGAAATTGAATCCTGAATAGTCAAAAAAATATCTTCCGGAAGGAATGAGAAATTAAAAGGAATGTTTTCAATGCTAGTAGATTATTCGCATGAATCAGATCATCTTTTAGGAACATTTCAGATAACTAAGTCAACTAAATTCATATACAACACTTCATGTACAACCTCACGCGACACTTCATGCAATATCCCACGTAACACCTCACGTACAGGACCACGCACGCCACCATCGTTCGAAAGGAGCCAAAACACGGTCCAGTTGTGAACCATGCATTCATTATGCAAAGTCAACGTCCAAGTGCTTACATTTTATTCTAAATATTTGTGAATTACATAATTATTTTATATTTGTGAATTACATAATTATTTTATTAAGCAATCTGATGCACATCTCAACATTACACATTATTTCTTAGTTTGCATACTCTCGAAATTGAAAATTCATATCGGAACATGTGTGAAATTTTGAAAATTTTTATTGGGAAGAATTGATAAAAATTTATCGAATAAAAAAATTTAATGCTTCGAATTTTATACTAAATTATTTGAGGTTAACAAATTTTACAAATTTTTTTAATTTAACAAAAGTTAATAAATTTAATGTTTTTTTTAAGTATGTAATATAGTTTAATTTAAACTGAAATTTTCAATTGATATTTAATCATTAGGTAAACAATCGGGGTGTATTGCAATATTGGATCCAACTACATAGAAATTGAATTTAAAAATGTGAAATTGATAGTTCAATAAAAGTTACCTTTTCTTTAATACTTCAATGTTTCATTTGTAGTCAAATTAATTTATTTTCATCATTTTTTTTTGATTGATCAATTTTAATAAGTTATCAAATAGAAATTTCAATTAGTTAATGTTTCATCCTACATTAATCATATCTACGAAGAAAAAGATTCACAGTGACAAAGCATTCATTACAAATTTTATTTTTGCATATCACTAATTTAACATCTAAAAATGAATATTAAAATTGTCAACAGATGATGATTTAATTATCCGAAGAGAAAGAAATAGGAAAGATCGATTTGATGGATGAGAAGAAAAGTAGGAAAAACTAATTTTACTGATCGATTAAAAGCTTACAAGTTATTCGAATTCAAAAGGAGCAGGAAATTTTCAGTAAAATGAATTTTGGCGTTGTTTTTTTTTCTAATATTTTGTAAATTTCTACATAAAATAAATTGCTGAAAACAGATATGACAGTATTTGAAGCACAACTGAATCACAATCGAAAAAACAAAAACTCGTTTTATGATGAAAGAATTGAATTTCTGAATTAATTAAGAAGTTTACTCCATTTCACTTCCTCATACTGCTATCATCCATTTGTATTCGTTGTTAGCATTTCCAGAATTCTTAATCTAACACCTATCCATATATTACGTAATTTCAAGTAACCATTTCAATTCACGTGACTTTAAACAGACATTTCAATTTCGTAAAATCTTCAGCAATCAAATAAACAACAAAATTTCGACACATTTATAAATTAAAATGTATTTATCACTTATTATGAGTAACAAAAAAAAAACGATAGCAAAAGCTATCATATGAATTATTTTCGAAATAGACCCGACGAAAAAAAAAAATGTTAAAAAAAAAAAAAAAAATAGAATCTTAGGCACTAACTAAATTGTTTACATTTGAAGCTAGTAAATTTTAATTTTATCACAAGGTTGCTTTATTAACATCTGAATTAAATTCGAAATGATACAATGAAGAGAATATATTCGTTATGGTAAATGATTACTTCGCTTCCTTATCTAACCAAAACTAAGCGTGTTTAGAAAAAAATGAAGTTAAAAAAAATTACTGGAATTTCAGTTTTTATTTTTTTTCTTTACATTCAGTTTTTATTTTTAAAGTTTTAAGCAATTTTAATCGAATTTCAATACTGCTTTTTTAAAAACCAAGAACCAATCACTTTAGTGTAAAGCCTACACCAATTCGTTTTCCATCTCTTAATTAAATTACATGTTTGAATTATAGCAAATTACATATTTCATTTATAAAAATAAACTTTAATGTTACAAATAGATAGGTTATTTTCTTACCAAAACTTTATCATTATTACGTTTAAAGTAACCATTGTTTGATTTCCAGATAATTCAAATCTGATCTATTTTTGATTTTAAATGCTAATTTGATTTAATTGCAAAACATGGATAATAATAATCAATATCTTGTTGAGTTGTTTTTAGCTCTTTTAACTAATTATTGATTTCCAATGTTAATAGTTTGCTTAATTTTATTTCAAATTTTATTTGAAGAAAGAAAAAACATGACTCATTAAGATGATGAATTTTTTCAGGAATAATTCCATTCGGATCCGACAGAATTAAATAAAAAGGCATATCATTTTTAAAGGCGGGCTTTTTTGGCTTCCCTATTACAGTGAGATTAGGCTCTCCCAATATTTATTTACTCATCTCTTCATAGGCTTAAATAAATATTCGTCTTTTTATACACGCCTACTATATTCATCCATTAATGTCATTCCATAAATTTTGTAGGTTTATTTTTTAGAATTTTAAATTTCACTCATTAGTTAACTTATCTACTATTTGTTCATTTACTTGTAAATTCATCGTTATACTTATCCCCATATTTTTTCGTTTATTATTTAATTAGTTTTTGTTTATTATTTACTTATTAAATTACTTGCTCACAATTATTACTCATTTGTTTATTAAATATTCTAATAGACGATAAGATTGATGCATGGATAAAAGTGAATAAAAATTTAATGCGATTTTAATTATATTTAAAAGAATTAAATTTTGAAAGATCTAGTAATCATGGATCAAATGAATAACTTCGTTCATAATAGTTACTTTTTCAGATTATATCAAGTATCATTCATTCAAATTCTTCCTTTAAATTTATTGAAACTAAAGAAAAAAAAAGATTGTGGCTTAAAATGTTATTTGAAATGATAATAATTTTACTAATTTTATCAAATCGTAATGCTGCATGGCGTGTACCGCATTGTGTGCTCAAATGTAAAGATGCACATATGCAACAGGTATATTTCATGTTTCTTGTTTTAAATTATTAAAATAATTTGATGAAAAAAAAAATTTGGTATTGAATGGATGAGCAAATTAGAAATAAATCACCAATGAAAATCACCTTTACTTTTTTGGGCATTGAAATTTGTAACTGCCCTTAATTTATTAAAATTATAATCTATCACAATTTAAATGTTTGCTAGATATCCTTCTCTTTTTTGCTATTTTTAAGATGGAAAAAGAATGGTCATTGAATTTTGCATTTCCATTATTATCTCTTCTGAAAGCTACCGATAACGAAACGGCTGCATACAATCGAGCAATTGAAATTTGCAGGTAGCAAAATATAATTTAATTTAATAAAATTCAATAATAAAAAAGAAAACGAATAACTCTTTAAAAAAATATCTGTATTTTTTGTTACATGCCAAATTTCTCTTTTTGATAAATTTCAAACAAAACATTTAAAGCTATAAATTTGTAACATTTTGAATAGGAATTTTAATTTGAATTATTTTGTTTCAGATTATTGGTTACATGTATCATATATTGTTTAGCGTTTTTTTTTTCTTCAAAAAATTCAATTCTATAATAATTTTTGTTCAAATGATACCGTAATCTGTTGAATCTCATAGCAATTACAATAATTACAATTGTTGTAAATCAAACTTATCGCTTTCTTCTTCTTTTGTTGGATTAATGAAAGATTAGTTTTTCCTCCTTTTTTATCCATGAGAATATCAATGCTTCATCGAAAATTGGGCGCTATCGGTAGTGATCAAATTTATTTATCATTTATTTTCATCTATCTTAAAATGAAAAAAAAAAAGAAAATTTATTTACAGAAGTTGTTTTTAGTGACGTAAAATGACAATTCCAAATAAATTTCGATGTTTGTTAACATTAAATAAGTGAGAAAAGCATTCATATATGTAAAATTCCCTGAGGTAATATACTTTTATCAGAGTAAAATTGCACAATTTAATCAACGATATACTTTTCAAGCAGCTAGAAGAAACAAGAAGGAAATAAATGAGAGAGGGAGAGAAAGAGAGAGAGAGAGGGAGAGAGAGGAAAAAAAGGAATAAGCCAATTTCGATTTCAAGGATGGAATTTTTATCAAATTTTTATTTTACTGATATGATTAAAAAATAAGTATAGCATAAGAGTTGTTTTATTTGTTCTAAAATTATTGAAATTAATTTAGTTTACAAATTCTTCAATAGTGAAGGTTTTTTTAATATATAAAAGAAGTGAATTTAAAAATGTGAAAATGTGAATTTTAAGTATTAGTTTTTTGCTAACATCCATTAATGCTAAATATGTCCGAAAATACTAATGATACAGTTGAAGTTATACTAAATTTGATATTTTTCAAATAAATTTTATTAGAGAAAAATTTTGATAGACTTTTGATTAGCAATGATGAAACCATAAATTTAAATATTTCTTTTTTTAATATAGCAATTTTTTAAATAATTTAATCGTTTTTTTTCTTTTAATCAACCGATAATGAAATAATTTATAAAGATTGCAACTGTATTTAAGCACTAAATTTTATAATTTCCAAACAAAAATTTTAAAAACATTCATCATAAATTGGTAAATATTTTTTGCGCCCATTTATTTATAAGTGATGCCATTATTGAGTGTAATGCAAATTCCATTCATCTCATACCAATGATAACAAGTGTGTTATGATTTATGATCGATCGGATGGCATCTTTGATGATTGCGATAGGATGAAGTACTTTATGGCATCATTCAATACCTTTCATAAAATCGGATTAGCGTTCGGTAAGAATCGCAAGGATTAGCGATAATTAACGGCTATCTTATCGCAAATAATCGCTCCTACAGTTATAATGAATGGTGTTCTGGCGTAAATTGCGTTATTGGTGGCATTTTTAAGTGGAAAAATTTTTTGTTAAAAGAACAAACAAAAATTACTTTTGCTATTTTAGG